GAGTGAAATACTTGACCCTGGGAGATAGCAGGCGGGGCAAGAGGTAGACTGATAAGATATAGTTAAGGAGGTTTGCGTAACAATATGGCAGACTGATCCACATTACCAGCACAAGGGTACAGAGAGGTGAGGAGGCGTGAGAAAGCCAGCGTGGAGTGTGGAGAGTTTTCATGAAAGCCTCTCAAAAGGGCACACCATACCACATTCAAATAATCAAGTAAAAACTGTGATTGTGAAGGTATGATAGGAGGATATATGATGCGTGATTAGCCTATAGGGAAGGGAGAGATATCACGATTGTTTAGCACACAATTGGTCAAAAGATCGGCTTCACTTGTCTCTGACGAGTTGTAGTGTGATGCTAAGAATGGCAAGACTCACTGACGATGCTGATTAAACGTCTGGGAATGTACCACATCCACAGTCTGACTGGAAATTTTCATGCATACAATGTACTCCGGACTAGTTTTGCTCCTCTAGGCCTTTCTACTAATATGTTCAAGTTGCGAAAACAAGGTCGAACAGCTTCTATAAAACGAACATTTACTTTCTCACATTCTGGAGATTTACATATTCCTTTCAAGGTTAATCTTATCTTTTCCAAGTTCCTCCTTCTACTTTGTCCACTTTCATTTAATTTTTATGTTTTTTTTCTTTCCTTCGCCTCTTTACTTCTCCCCTCTGTCCGATTTCACTTACTTTATCATTACTCCCAAAACTAAAATCTGCTTTTGTTCGTTTTTTTTAAATTTTTCTTTACATTATTTACTCTCATATTCTCTTTTTATCCTTCAGTGTCGCGAAATGATGGCCCTCTGCCAAGATCGTGTGTTGGCTAACACGGCTAAGCTACAGTCTGATCAGCGCGATTATGCAAGTCGACAGGCGGCCACATTAGAGGCGGACCGAGTTCGCCGACGCTCAGAAGATCGTTTTGTGGCTGCAGAACAACGTGCACAGGCCAAGGGCAAGCAGCCAGAACAAAGCCAACGCTGTCAGCGTGCCAGAGCCGAATATGACGCGGTGAGCATTCATATCAAACATACATTGGCTATCATCTGTTTCCTCGTATTATTTATTCCATCATTGAATTATATGGAATACTCAATCAAGTAAAATTAATTTATCTTCTTTATGAATCCTGCGCTGATAATGAATTCCTAATCAGATGCTATTTTTATATTTCCTCTTGGGAACACTTAAGTTATTAATTTGTTTTTACAGCTATTGCTTTTGAACCCCACTACCTAACTGGGCAATATTCACACTTACACTGGTTTTTACTGTGGCTATTCCATTATAATCGATTCTGGCTTACAGTATGCCTATTAGTTATTTATTCTTCAGCTCAAATTTAGCTCGTGATTTTATTTTGCTATTATTTTTAAAAAATTTCAGTTCGCCTCTTTCGGTTGTGGAAATCTGTCTTAATTCCTATTTTATATGATCCAACCTTAGATATTGCTTTCTTTATGAGAGTCATTAAGGTCCTGGTCTTTCAGCTCAAGTTATGACTTAATTTAAAATCAAATTCGTCTATCTATTTGATATAATCCATTCATGGTCACGTATTTCCAAATGTTCTAACTAGCTT